CAGCTCCTCTTGTGGGAGGTTGGGTTGTTGCTTTGGTAATGGAGTACTTGATTAGTGTGGGCTGTCTTCCAGTAAACTTGGGTTTTTAGTCTGCTGTTGTTTCCTCTGCTGATGAGGATGTCTACGAAGGATAGTGTGTTGTTTTCTTCCTCTCTGGTGAATTTTATTCCTTTGAAGTTGTTGTTGATGGTTTCATGTGTCTTCTCGAGTTGCTCCTTTTTTATTATAACAAAAGTGTCATCTACATATCTACAGATTTACATACAGATTTAGATACTGTAAATACTATTCAAGCAAAAAAGAGCTCACAAACTTCTCAAGGTCTTCTACTCAGCAAAAGCAATCCTTATTTATAGCAAAGCAGCACATGAAGATGTTCCTCTAATGACTTAGCTACTTGGAAAAATATTTCCAATTAACATTTAATCCCATGAAAACAGATATTTAAATGGATATGCTGACAGATTCTTAAAATATAGCATCACCAGCAGGCACCGTCCTAATTATATTAAAGGCATCTGAACTTTCATCTGCTCTATTTGTTCCCCAAAAATACTTTGCAGGTATAATGTGGTAGCCAGAGAGAGACTTTGGGAAAAGGACTTTGGCTTTCAGGTGAACAAATGCCACACAACTGTTTCTCAGTGTGGAAGTGGTTGAGGCACAATAATTTGCAAACATTCTTTTCTGAGGTGAAAAAAAGAAGTCACCTATTGTAATAACCGGGACTGTTTTGTCAACTGGTTTTTTTTTTTAAAGCCATAGTTCATGCTAAAGGACAACCTAGAGAAATTGTTGGTAGTCCTCCATTTTTGTGAAGTTAAGAGGGACTCATGCTGTTGTTTTGCAACAGCTCTGACTTAATGGAAATGCATACTTTTGAGAGTTGGACTGCCCTTCAGTGTCACAGAAATGAGTTATGATGGAGCTCTTCCAGCGAGCCTTTTGTGACTGAAGATGGACATTCTCTGCAAGATTTATATGGTACCATAATTATATGGTACTGTTTTCTATGTCCTGGAATAAGCCAATGCTCCTGCACAGTGTATTGTTTGTAGGGTCATGTGCAAGCATATATTTGAATTGATCACTTTGTTTTCTTTCCAGTGCTGTTAGAAACCCTTGACATGCTTATCTCTTAGAATTATTAAAGCTGGAGACAGTTATTGATACTGGCTCTCCTCTGGTTATAAGCTGGCTTCTGTGATTCTGGAATTGTCAATGAAAGAATATAACCAGGGGTATATTCTAGGATAGAAGGACTGTGCGCTAGAGACTCTGGGATGCAGGAAAACTTCAGCAAAATTCACACCCCATGCTAAACTATGCTGCTTTGGTTTAATGGAGTGGATAAACCCAGCCACTGTGAATTGCACACTATGACTTATACTTTAGCATTGTGTAAATTAGGACATTTTATTTGTTCGGTGAACATCAATTAAAGAGGCCATAATTTAACACACTGGCTACAGTT